TCTCTTTAATAATGTTACATAAATATGTTGAACTTCTTTCACACGGTACCGTGCTAATCGGAGGTGCGGAGTGTTGAGTCTATATGATGAATGTTTGTATGGTGCAGTGTTGAGTCTATGGTGCAGTGTTGAGTCTATGGTGCAGCGTTGAGTCTATGGTGCAGCGTTGAGTCTATGGTGCAGTGTTGAGTCTATGGTGCAGTGTTGAGTCTATGGTGCAGTGTTGAGTCTATGGTGCAGCGTTGAGTATATGGTGCAGTGTTGAGTCTATGGTGCAGTGTTGAGTCTATGGTGCAGTGTTGAGTCTATGGTGCAGCGTTGAGTCTATGGTGCAGTGTTGAGTCTATGGTGCAGTGTTGAGTCTATGGTGCAGTGTTGAGTATATGGTGCAGTGTTGAGTCTATGGCCAGTGTTGAGTCTATGGTGCAGTGTTGAGTCTATGGTGCAGTGTTGAGTCTGTGGTGCAGTGCTGAGTCTATGGTGCAGTGCTGAGTCTATGGTGCAGTGTTGAGTCTATGGTGCAGTGTTGAGTCTATGGTGCAGTGCTGAGTCTGTGGTGCAGTGTTGAGTCTATGGTGCAGTGTTGAGTCTGTGGTGCAGTGTTGAGTCTATGCTGCAGTGTTGAGTCTATGCTGCAGTGTTGAGTCTATGGTGCAGTGTTGAGTCTATGGTGCAGTGTTGAGTCTGTGGTGTCAGTGTTGAGTCTGTGGTGTCAGTGTTGAGTCTGTGGTGTCAGTGTTGAGTCTGTGGTGTCAGTGTTGAGTCTGTGGTGTCAGTGTTGAGTCTGTGGTGTCAGTGTTGAGTCTATGGTGTCAGTGTTGAGTCTGTGGTGTCAGTGTTGAGTCTGGTGCAGTGTTGAGTCTATGGGCAGTGTTGAGTCTATGGGCAGTGTTGAGTCTGGTGCAGTGTTGAGTCTATGGTGCAGTGTTGAGTCTATGGTGCAGTGTTGAGTCTATGGTGCAGTGCTGAGTCTATGGTGCAGTGTTGAGTCTGTGGTGCAGTGTTGAGTCTGTGGTGCAGTGTTGAGTCTATGGTGCAGTGTTGAGTCTGTGGTGCAGTGTTGAGTCTGTGGTGCAGTGTTGAGTCTGTGGTGCAGTGTTGAGTCTATAGTGCAGTGTTGAGTCTATGGTGCAGTGTTGAGTCTATGGTGCAGTGTTGAGTCTATGGTGCAGTGTTGAGTCTATGGTGCAGTGTTGCGTCTATGGTGCAGTGTTGAGTCTATGGTGCAGTGTTGAGTCTATGGTGCAGTGTTGAGTCTATGGTGCAGTGTTGAGTCTATGGTGCAGTGTTGAGTCTATGGTGCAGTGTTGAGTCTATGGTGCAGTGTTGAGTCTATGGTGCATTGTTGAGTCTATGGTGCAGTGTTGAGTCTATGGTGCAGTGTTGAGTCTATGGTGCAGTGTTGAGTCTATGGTGCAGTGTTGAGTCTATGGTGCAGTGTTGAGTCTATGGTGCAGTGTTGAGTCTATGGTGCAGTGTTGAGTCTATGGTGCAGTGTTGAGTCTATGGTGCAGTGTTGAGTCTATGGTGCAGTGTTGAGTCTATGGTGCAGTGTTGAGTCTATGGTGCAGTGTTGAGTCTATGTGCAGTGTTGAGTCTATGGTGCAGTGTTGAGTCTATGGTGCAGTGTTGAGTCTATGGTGCAGTGTTGAGTCTATGTGCAGTGTTGAGTCTATGGTGCAGTGTTGAGTCTATGGTGCAGTGTTGAGTCTATGGTGCAGTGTTGAGTCTATGGTGCAGTGTTGAGTCTATGGTGCAGTGTTGAGTCTATGGTGCAGTGTTGAGTCTATGGGCAGTGTTGAGTCTATGGTGTTGAGTCTATGGTGTTGAGTCTATGGTGCAGTGTTGAGTCTATGGTGCAGTGTTGAGTCTATGGGGGTTGAGTCTATGGGTTGATCTATGGTGCAGTGTTGAGTCTATGGTGCAGTGTTGAGTCTATGGTGCAGTGTTGAGTCTATGGTGCAGTGTTGAGTCTATGGTGCAGTGTTGAGTCTATGGTGCAGTGTTGAGTCTATGGTGCAGTGTTGAGTCTATGGTGCAGTGTTGAGTCTATGGTGCAGTGTTGAGTCTATGGTGCAGTGTTGAGTCTATGGTGCAGTGTTGAGTCTATGGTGCAGTGTTGAGTCTATGGTGCAGTGTTGAGTCTATGTGCAGTGTTGAGTCTATGGGCAGTGTTGAGTCTATGGTGTTGAGTGTGTTGAGTCTATGGTGCAGAGTCTATGGTGCAGTGTTGAGTCTATGGTGCAGTGTTGAGTCTATGGTGCAGTGTTGAGTCTATGGTGCAGTGTTGAGTCTATGGTGCAGTGTTGAGTCTATGTGCAGTGTTGAGTCTTGGGTGTTGAGTCTATGGTGTTGAGTCTATGGTGCAGTGTTGAGTCTATGGTGCAGTGTTGAGTCTATGGTGTTGAGTCTATGGTGTTGAGTCTATGGTGCAGTGTTGAGTCTATGGTGCAGTGTTGAGTCTATGGGCAGTGTTGAGTCTATGGTGCAGTGTTGAGTCTATGGTGTTGATCTATGGTTGAGTCTATGGTGGCAGTGTTGAGTCTATGGTGCAGTGTTGAGTCTATGGTGCAGTGTTGAGTCTATGGTGCAGTGTTGAGTCTGTGGTGCAGTGTTGAGTCTATGGTTGCAGTGTTGAGTCTATGGTGCAGTGTTGAGTCTATGGTGCAGTGTTGAGTCTATGGTGCAGTGTTGCGTCTATGGTGCTATGTGTTGAGTCTATGGTGCAGTGTTGAGTCTATGGTGCAGTGTTGAGTCTATGGTGCAGTGTTGAGTCTATGGTGCAGTGTTGAGTCTATGGTGCAGTGTTGAGTCTATGGGTGGCAGTGTTGAGTCTATGGTGCAGTGTTGAGTCTATGGTGCAGTGTTGAGTCTATGGTGCAGTGTTGAGTCTATGGTGCAGTGTTGAGTCTATGGTGCAGTGTTGAGTCTATGGTGCAGTGTTGAGTCTATGGTGCAGTGTTGAGTCTATGGTGCAGTGTTGAGTCTATGGTGCAGTGTTGAGTCTATGGTGCAGTGTTGAGTCTATGGTGCAGTGTTGAGTCTATGGGCAGTGTTGAGTCTATGGTGCAGTGTTGAGTCTATGGTGCAGTGTTGAGTCTATGGTGCAGTGTTGAGTCTATGGTGCAGTGTTGAGTCTATGGTGCAGTGTTGAGTCTGGTGCAGTGTTGAGTCTATGTGCAGTGTTGAGTCTATGGTGCAGTGTTGAGTCTATGGTGCAGTGTTGAGTCTATGGTGCAGTGTTGAGTCTATGGTGCAGTGTTGAGTCTATGGTGCAGTGTTGAGTCTATGGTGCAGTGTTGAGTCTATGGGCAGTGTTGAGTCTATGGTGCAGTGTTGAGTCTATGGTGCAGTGTTGAGTCTATGGTGCAGTGTTGAGTCTATGGTGCAGTGTTGAGTCTATGGTGCAGTGTTGAGTCTATGGTGCAGTGTTGAGTCTATGGGCAGTGTTGAGTCTATGGTGCAGTGTTGAGTCTATGGTGCAGTGTTGAGTCTATGGTGCAGTGTTGAGTCTATGGTGCAGTGTTGAGTCTATGGTGCAGTGTTGAGTCTATGGTGCAGTGTTGAGTCTATGGTGCAGTGTTGAGTCTATGGTGCAGTGTTGAGTCTATGGGCAGTGTTGAGTCTATGGTGCAGTGTTGAGTCTATGGTGCAGTGTTGAGTCTATGGTGCAGTGTTGAGTCTATGGTGCAGTGTTGAGTCTATGGTGCAGTGTTGAGTCTATGGTGCAGTGTTGAGTCTATGGTGCAGTGTTGAGTCTATGGTGCAGTGTTGAGTCTATGGTGCAGTGTTGAGTCTATGGTGCAGTGTTGAGTCTATGGGCAGTGTTGAGTCTATGGTGCAGTGTTGAGTCTATGGTGCAGTGTTGAGTCTATGGTGCAGTGTTGAGTCTATGGTGTTGAGTCTATGGTGTTGAGTCTATGGTGCAGTGTTGAGTCTATGGTGCAGTGTTGAGTCTAGGTTGAGTCTATGGTGTTGAGTCTATGGGCAGTGTTGAGTCTATGGTGCAGTGTTGAGTCTATGGTGCAGTGTTGAGTCTATGGTGCAGTGTTGAGTCTATGGTGCAGTGTTGAGTCTATGGTGCAGTGTTGAGTCTATGGTGCAGTGTTGAGTCTATGGTGCAGTGTTGAGTCTATGGTGCAGTGTTGAGTCTATGGTGCAGTGTTGAGTCTATGGTGCAGTGTTGAGCCTATGGTGCAGTGTTGAGTCTATGGTGCAGTGTTGAGGTCTTTATGGTGCAGTGTTGAGTCTATGGTGCAGTGTGAGTCTATGGTGCTGTGAGTCTATGGTGCAGTGTTGAGTCTATGGTGCAGTGTGAGTTCTATGGGCAGTGTTGAGTCTATGGTGCTTGAGTCTATGGTGCAGTGTTGAGTCTATGGTGCAGGTTGAGTCTATGGGCAGTGGTGAGTCTATGGTGCAGTGTTGAGTCTATGGGTGAGTCTATGTGTGAGTCTATGGTGCCAGCAGTGTTGAGTCTTATGGTGCAGTGTTGAGTCTATGGCCTGCAGTGTTGAGTCTATGGGTGTTGAGTCTATGGATTGCAGTTGTGAGTCTGTGGAGTCTGGGTGCAGTGTTGAGTCTATGGTGTTGAGTCTATGGTGTTGAGTCTATGGTGCAGTGTTGAGTCTGTGGTGCAGTGTTGAGTCTGTGGTGCAGTGTTGAGTCTGTGGTGCAGTGTTGAGTCTGTGGTGCAGTGTTGAGTCTGTGGTGCAGTGTGTTGTAGGGATGTTGAACTTCTTTCGCAGTATGTAGCCAACCGTGCCATCACCACGACCACTGCCATCACCACCACCACCACGACCACCACCACCACGACCACCACCACCACGACCACCACCACCACGACCACCACCACCGCCAAGACCGTCACCACCACCACCACGACTGCCCGCCACGAAACCCACGCCGCCGACATGAACGCGAACGCATCTCCCTCTGCCCCCCCCCCCACTCCTCTCCCCCCGCCCCCCAAAAGGGTCCGCTGAAGCGGGCGGCCAAACCGGCCCCCCCCTGGGGCCCCCCCGACGGAGGGCAGCGGCCCACGGCGACCGCCCGCCCGTCGCAGGCTGCCCCGCCACCGCCACCCCGACTCGACGGCCTCCGAGGCCGACGCCGACCCGGCCCGCCGGACGTCCGCCCGGCCCGCCGAGCTGGGCCTGGAGCCCTCCCAGGGGCCACCCGCCCCGCCCTGGCGGCCCTGGAGGGGGGCCGGGGGGGGGCACCGGCCGCGGCGCTCAGCTTCCTGGTGAGGCGGGCGGGCGGGGCGGGTGGGGCGGGTGGGGCAGGAGCGGCGGGTGGGGCACGGGCGGCGAGGGGGAACGTGGAGCTGCAGGCGCAGCTACGCGGCGGGGAGGCCGGTGGGTGGTGTGAGTGTGGGTGTGTGGGTGGTGGGTGTGTGTGTGTGGTTGGGTGTGTGTGGGTGGGTGGGGTGGTGGGTGTGTGTGTGTGTGTGGGTGTGTGGGGTGGTGGGTGAGTGTGGGTGTGGGGTGGTGGGTGTGGGGTGGTGGGTGAGTGTGGGTGGGTGAGTGTGTGTGTGGGTGGGTGTGTGGGTGCGTGGGTGTTTGGGGTGGTGGGTGGGTGGGTGAGTGTGTGGGGTGGTGGGTTTGTGTGTGGGTGTGTGGGTGGGTGGGTGAGTGTGGGGGAGTGTGGGTGAGTGTGGGTGAGTGAGTGTGTGTGAGTGTGGGTGAGTGGGTGGGTGTGTGGCTGAATGTGGGTGGGTTAGTGTGTGGGTTGGTGGGTTTGTGTGTGGGTGTGTGGGGTGGTGGATGGGTGGGTGTGTGGGGTGGTGTGTGGGTGGGTGGGTGGGGTGGTGGGTGGGTGGGTGAGTGTGTGTGTGGGTGGGTGTGTGGGTGCGTGGGGTGTTTGGGGTGGTGGGTGGGTGGGTGAGTGTGTGGGGTGGTGGGTTTGTGTGTGGGTGTGTGGGTGAGTGTGGGTGAGTGAGTGTGTGTGAGTGTGGGTGAGTGGGTGGGTGTGTGGCTGAATGTGGGTGGGTTAGTGTGTGGGTTGGTGGGTTTGTGTGTGGGTGTGTGGGGTGGTGGATGGGTGGGTGTGTGGGGTGGTGTGTGGTGGGTGGGTGGGTGGGGTGGTGGTGGGTGGGTGAGTGTGTGTGTGGGTGGGTGTGTGGGTGCGTGGGTGTTTGGGGTGGTGGGTGGGTGGGTGAGTGTGTGGGGTGGTGGGTTTGTGTGTGGGTGTGTGGGTGAGTGTGGGTGAGTGAGTGTGTGTGAGTGTGGGTGAGTGGGTGGGTGTGTGGCTGAATGTGGGTGGGTTAGTGTGTGGGTTGGTGGGTTTGTGTGTGGGTGTGTGGGGTGGTGGATGGGTGGGTGTGTGGGGTGGTGTGTGGGTGGGTGGGTGGGGTGGTGGGTGGGTGGGTGAGTGTGTGTGTGGGTGGGTGTGTGGGTGCGTGGGTGTTTGGGGTGGTGGGTGGGTGGGTGAGTGTGTGGGGTGGTGGGTTTGTGTGTGGGTGTGTGGGTGAGTGTGGGTGAGTGAGTGTGTGTGAGTGTGGGTGAGTGGGTGGGTGTGTGGCTGAATGTGGGTGGGTTAGTGTGTGGGTTGGTGGGTTTGTGTGTGGGTGTGTGGGGTGGTGGATGGGTGGGTGTGTGGGGTGGTGTGTGGGTGGGTGGGTGGGGTGGTGGGTGGTGGGTGAGTGTGTGTGTGGGTGGGTGTGTGGGTGCGTGGGTGTTTGGGGTGGTGGGTGGGTGGGTGAGTGTGTGGGGTGGTGGGTTTGTGTGTGGGTGTGTGGGTGAGTGTGGGTGAGTGAGTGTGTGTGAGTGTGGGTGAGTGGGTGGGTGTGTGGCTGAATGTGGGTGGGTTAGTGTGTGGGTTGGTGGGTTTGTGTGTGGGTGTGTGGGGTGGTGGATGGGTGAGTGGGGTGGTGTGTGGGTGGGTGGGTGGGGTGGTGGGTGGGTGGGTGAGTGTGTGTGTGGGTGGGTGTGTGGGTGCGTGGGTGTTTGGGGTGGTGGGTGGGTGGGTGAGTGTGTGGGTGAGTGTGGGTGAGTGAGTGTGTGTGAGTGTGGGTGAGTGGGTGGGTGTGTGGCTGAATGTGGGTGGGTGAGTGTGTGGGGTGATGGGTTTGTGTGTGGGTGTGTGGGGTGGTGAATGGGTGGGTGTGTGGGGTGGTGGATGGGTGAGTGTGTGGGGTGGTGGGTGGGTGGGTGAGTGTGTGTGTGGGTGAGTGTGTGTGTGGGTGGGTGTGTGGGTGCGTGGGTGTTTGGGGTGGTGGGTGGTGGGTGTGTGTGTGTGGTTGGGTGTGTGTGTGTGGGTGTGTGGGTGGGTGGGTGAGTGGGTGAGGTGGTGGGTGGGTGAGTGTGTGGGGTGGTGGGTGAGTGTGGGTGTGGGGTGGTGGGTGTGGGGTGGTGGGTGAGTGTGGGTGAGTGAGAGTGTGTGTGGGTGGGTGGGTGTGTGGGTGCCTGGGTGTTTGGGGTGGTGGGTGGGTGGGTGAGTGTGTGGGGTGGTGGGTTTGTGTGTGGGTGGGTGGGTGAGTGTGGGGGAGTGTGGGTGAGTGTGGGTGAGTGAGTGTGTGTGAGTGTGGGTGAGTGGGTGGGTGTGTGGCTGAATGTGGGTGGGTTAGTGTGTGGGTTGGTGGGTTAGTGTGTGGGTGTGTGGGGTGGTGGGTGGGTGAGTGTGTGGGGTGGTGTGTGGGTGGGTGTGTGGGGTGGTGGGTGGGTGGGTGAGTGTGTGTGTGGGTGGGTGTGTGGGTGTGTGGGTGTTTGGGGTGGTGGGTGGGTGGGTGAGTGTGTGGTGTGGTGGGTGGGGGAGTGTGTGGGGTGGTGGGTGGGTGAGTGTTTGGGGTGGTGGGTTTGTGTGTGGGTGTGAGGTGGTGGGTGGGTGAGTGTGTGGGGTGGTGGGTGGGTGGGTGCTGTGGTGGGTGGGTGAGTGTGTGGGGTGGTGGGTTTGTGTGTGGGTGTGTGGGGTGGTGGGTGGGTGGGTGTGGGTGCGTGGGACGGTGAGTGTGGGTGAGTAGCTGGGGGGGGGTGTGGGTGAGTGGGATGGTGAGTGTGTGTGGGGCGGTGGATGTTTGTGGGTATGTGGGGTGGTGAGTGTGGGTGAGTGGATGTGTGAGTGAGGGGGCAGTGAGTGGGGTGGGTGAGTGTGTGGTTGTGTGGGTGAGGGGGCGGTGAGTTGGGTGGGTGAGAGTGGGTTTCTAGGTAGATGGGTGGGTGAGTGATTGGGTCGGTGGGTAAGTGGGTGAGAAGGTGAGTGAGGGTGTTGGTGAGTGAGTCGAGTGGGTGAGTGTGTGTGTGAGTGGAGAGTGGGAGTGGGTGGGTGGGTGAGTGCGTGGGGCGAGTGTGTGCGTGTGGAGTGGTTGAGTGTGGTGAATGTGTGGAGTGGGTGAGTGATTGGGTCTGTGGGTAAGTATGTGAGAGGGTGAGTGAGGGTGTTGGTGAGTGAGTGGAGCGGCTGAGTGTGTGTGTGTGAAGTGTGTATGTGTGTCTTACAAACACACACACCATTCCTCTCCTCCGTCTCTGCACCAGCGCTTGGCACCGCCAGGACTAGCGCCACCAGCGCCACCACCGCCGACGGGCGGCTGTCCGAGCTCCGCTCGCGGCGCCGTCTGCTGAGCGCCGAGGTGCAGCGCCGGCGCTCGGCGCTACAGCGGCGGCGGCAGGAGACCAGCGCCTTGCACCGGCAGGCGGAGGAGCGCGACGGCTCAGCCAGCGCCGTCGCGCTCCGGCACGCCCAGCAGCGCCGGCTCGGCCTGCTCATGCAGGTACCAGCCGTGGTGACTGGTGGTGCAGGTACCAGACGTGGTGACTGCTGGTGCAGGTACCAGACGTGGTGACTGCTCATGCAGGTACCAGACGTGGTAACGGCGCTGGCGCTAACGGCACTTGCTCCAACGCGGTTAAGACTATAGGGGTCCTTTGCCTCCTCTGGGTCGACTCGGCCTCAAGTGAGTAGCTGGTGTGTGCGGTAAACATCGCCACTGGGGAGACAAAGGCGGCCGGGCGTGGTGTTGGCCACCCACCCCCTCGTGTGCCGTGGGTGTATAAGTGAGTGAGTGTGTGGGTGTGCGAGTGAGTGTATGAGCGTGTGAGTGTGTTGGTGTGCGAGCCAGTTTGTGGGTATGTAAGCAAGTGTGCAGGTGTGCGAGCCACTGTATGAGTGAGGTGAGTGGGTGTGTGTGCGAGCGAGCGAATGTGTGCGTGTGTGGGTGAGTGAGCGAGTGAATGTGCGTGTGTGAGCGAGCAAATGTGTGCGTGTGTGAGCGAGTGAGTGTGTGTGTGTGTGAGCGAGTGAGTTTGTGAGTGTGCGGGTGAGTGAGTGTGTGCGTGTGTGAGCGAGTGAATGTGTGCGTGTGTGAGCGAGTGAGTGTGTGTGTGTGTGTGAGCGAGTGAGTTTGTGAGTGTGCGGGTGAGTGAGTGTGTGCGTGTGTGAGCGAGTGAATGTGTGCGTGTGTGAGCGAGTGAGTGTGTGAGTGTGTGTGAGCGAGTGAGTTTGTGAGTGTGCGGGTGAGTGAGTGTGTGCGTGTGTGAGCGAGTGAATGTGTGCGTGTGTGAGCGAGTGAGTGTGTGAGTGTGTGTGAGCGAGTGAGTTTGTGAGTGTGCGGGTGAGTGAGTGTGTGCGTGTGTGAGCGAGTGAATGTGTGCGTGTGTGAGCGAGTGAGTGTGTGAGTGTGTGTGTGTGAGCGAGTGAGTTTGTGAGTGTGCGAGTGAGTGAGTGTGTGCGTGTGTGAGCGAGCAAATGTGTGCGTGTGTGAGCGAGTGAGTGTGTGTGTGTGTGTGTGTGAGCGAGTGAGTTTGTGAGTGTGCGGGTGAGTGAGTGTGTGCGTGTGTGAGCGAGTGAATGTGTGCGTGTGTGAGCGACTGAGTGTGTGGGCGAGTGTGTGTGTGTGTGAGCGAGTGAGTGAGTGTGAGTGCGTGTGTGAACGAGTGAGTGTGTGTGTGTGAGCGAGTACGTGTGTGTGTGTGTGAGTGTGTGTGAGCGAGCGAGTGAATGTGTGTGTGTGTAGGCGAGAGAGCGAGTGAATTTGTGTGTGTGTGAACGAGCGAATGTGTGCGTGTGTGAGCGAGTGAATGTGTGTGTGTGAGCGAGTGAATGTGTGTGTGTGTGTGTGAGCGAGTGAGTGAGTGTGAGTGCGTGTGTGAACGAGTGTGTGTGTGTGTGTGAGCGAGTACGTGTGTGTGTGAGCGAGTACGTGTGTGTGTGAGTGAGTGTGTGTGAGCGAGCGAGTGAATGTGTGTGTGTGTAGGCGAGAGAGCGAGTGAATTTGTGTGTGTGTGAACGAGCGAATGTGTGCGTGTGTGAGCGATGTGAATGTGTGTGTGTGTAGGCGAGAGAGCAAGTGAATTTGTGTGTGTGTGAACGAGCGAATGTGTGCGTGTGTGAGCGAGTGAATGTGTGTGTGTGAGCGAGTGAATGTGTGTGTGTGTGTGAGCGAGTGAATGTGTGTGTGTGTGTGAGCGAGTGAATGTGTGTGTGTGTGTGTGAGCGAGTGAGTGAGTGTGAGTGCGTGTGTGAACGAGTGAGTGTGTGTGTGTGTGAGCGAGTACGTGTGTGTGTGAGCGAGTACGTGTGTGTGTGAGTGAGTGTGTGTGAGCGAGCGAGTGAATGTGTGTGTGTGTGGGCGAGAGAGCGAGTGCATTTGTGCGTGTGTGAGCGAGTGAATGTGTGTGTGTGTGTGCGAGTGAATGTGTGTGTGTGTGTGAGCGAGTGAATGTGTGTGTGTGTGTGTGAGCGAGTGAGTTTGTGGGTGTGCGAGTGAGTGAGTGTGTGCGTGTGTGAGCGAGTGAATATGTGCGTGTGTGAGCGAGTGAATGTGTGTGTGAGCGAGTGAGTTTGTGAGTGTGCGAGTGAGTTAGTGTGTGTGCGAGTGAGTTAGTGTGTGCGTGTGTGAGCGACTGAGTGTGTGGGCGAGTGTGTGTGTGTGTGAGCAAGTGAGTGAGTGAGTGTGTGCGTGTGTGAGCGAGTGAATATGTGCGTGTGTGAGCGAGTGAATGTGTGTGTGAGCGAGTGAGTTTGTGGGTGTGCGAGTGAGTTAGTGTGTGCGTGTGTGAGCGACTGAGTGTGTGGGCGAGTGTGTGTGTGTGTGAGCAAGTGAGTGAGTGTGTGTGTGTGCGAGTGAGTGAGTGAGTGTGTGTGTGGGCGAGTGAGTGAGTGTGTGTGTGTAGGTGAGCGAGTGAGTGTGTGTGTGAGCGAGTGAGTGTGTGTAGGTGAGCGAGTGAGTGTGCCACAACAGCCTGTTAGAGGTGACACTGGGTTCTCTCGCTCTCTCTGTGTGTGTCCTCTGCGCAGGCGTTTTCCACTCGCCTGTCGCTCTCCCGACAGCACCTCCAGGATCTGGTCGCCCGAATTCGGCTTCTGTCCGGGACGCCGGTGCCCGCGGTCAGCGCCAGCGGAGGACCACACGCAACGGTACCGCCACCACCACCATCACCACGCTCACCACCCTTACCACCACCACGCTCACCACCACCACTACCGACACCACCACCACCACGCTCACCACCACCACGCTCTCCACCACCACCATGCTCACCACCCTTACCACCACCACGCTCACCACCCTTACCACCACCACGCTCACCACCCTTACCACCACCACGCTCACCACCACCGACACCACCACCACCACGCTCACCACCGCCACCGCTACCACCGCCACCACCACCGATACCACCACCCCCACGCTCGCCACCCCCACTACCACGCTCACCACCACCACCACCACCACCGCAGCAGCCACGACCACCACGCTCACCACCACCACGCTCACCACCACGCTCACCACCACCACCACGCTCACCACCACCACCACGCTCTCCACCACCACCACCACCACCACCACCACGCTCACCACCCCTACCACCACCACGCTCTCCACCACTACCGCCTCACCACCACGCTCACCACTACCACGCTCACCACCACCACCACACTCACCACCCCTACCACCACCACACTCTCCACCCCTACCACCACCACACTCTCCACCACCACCACCACGCTCACCACCACCACACTCACCACCCCCACCACCAACACGTTCACCACCCCCACACTCACCACCAACACGCTCACCACCACCACACTCACCACCACCACCACACTCACCACCCCTACCACCACCACACTCACCACCCCCACCACCAACACGTTCACCACCCCCACACTCACCACCAACACGCTCACCACCACCACACTCACCACCACCACCACACTCACCACCCCTACCACCACCACACTCTCCACCACCACCACCACGCTCACCACCACCACACTCACCACCCCCACCACCAACACGTTCACCACCCCCACACTCACCACCAACACGCTCACCACCACCACACTCACCACCACCACCACACTCACCACCCCTACCACCACCACACTCTCCACCACCACCACCACACTCACCACCACCACCACCACACTCACCACCACCAACACGTTCACCACCCCCACCACCACCACACTCTCCACCACCACCACCACACTCACCACCACCAACACGTTCACCACCCCTACCACCACCACACTCTCCACCACCACCACCACGCTCACCACCACCACCACACTCACCACCCCCACCACCACCACACTCACCACCCCCACCACCAACACGCTCACCACCCCCACCAAAGACGCGGATCCACCGTATCGTCTTCACAGAGGCTGTGGTGGCCAAGTGCTGTTAGCGAACAGCGCCTATGACAGCCGGCACTGTGGCACACGAGGGGGTGGGTGGCCAGCACCACGCCCGGCCGCCTTTGTCTCCCCAGTGGCGATGTTTACTGCACCTTGCACCAGGTACACATTTGAGGCTGAGGCGACCTAGGGGAGGCCCAGGACCGCTACACCACCACCACCACGCCCCCAACGAAGGCCGTTGGTCCAGGCTCATCACCGATGCCAGGCCACGTGCACCTTGAGGCCACCTGAAGTGTCGAACGCCCGCTGGCAGGAGGTCACGGGGCAGACCCAGCAGGTGCCACGGGTCGACTGACTGAGATGACCGAGATGACTGGCTGATGCACCACCTGTGCCCCTACTGTGCCAACTTGCTGTGCTTTAGCCACCCGGCGCTCCGCTCGTTGTTGTGAGCGTCGCTTCTCCGCCCTCCGTTGTTGTTGGAGGGCGACTGCCTCCAACTGCCCAGTAGCGTCCTTCACGAGCCTCCTCCACAGAGGCCGATCTTGACACCGCTGGTACCAGTCATCGGCAAGTCCACTCAGCTCCACGTCCTCCTGTACCACATCACTCCGTCTCTTCTTTAGCCCGTGCCGCGCCCGTTTAGCCCCCTCGATCCGGCGGAACAAAAGCTGTTTAGGCATGCGTTGGCTGGGCATGCGGGCTACATGACCCAGCCAACGCAGCCTTGCCTGCCGGAGGAGCTCACCGATGGGACTTTGTCCAGATCTTTCAAGGATTTGTGAGCTCCTCACACAATCCAGCCTGCTGGTTAGACCCAGCATGGATCGTAGGCAGGCCAGGCTGAATGTTTCTTAACCGGTGAACACACGCACGAAACACACGCACATACGCGCGCAGACACATGCATGCACACACGCGCACACACACACACATGCACGCACACGCGTGCAGATACATGCACACACACGCACATAGGCGCTGACACACGCGCAGACACATGCACAGACACATGCACATACATGCACACACACACATGCACACACACGTGCAGACGCATGCACACACGCGCGCAGACACATGCACGCACACGCAGACACGCACACACGCAGACACGCACACGCAGACACACACTCGCGCAGGTACACACACGCACACAGGCACTGACACACACACGTGCAGACACATGCACACACGCACACGCACACACACACACGCTTACCCCTCTGTGGTCCTGCTCATTAAAATGACAGCCAGGGAAGGATGTTGCGTTAACACGTTTGGTTTCCCGGTACCACAGCCCTCCTGCGTATCCTCTCGAGCATGGCAGCACGTGCTGTCATTACCGTAGGCTCCCATTCATTAGGTATCTCTCTCGCTCACTCGCTCAGTCGCTCAGTCGCTCAGTCACGCACCCATTCGCGCACCCACTCACCAAATCGCTCACTCGCTCATCCACTCATCTACTCACTCGCCCACCAACTCGCTCGCCCACCAACTCGCTCGCTCACTCGCTCAGTCGCTCAGTCACGCACCCATTCGTGCACCCACTCGCCAAATCGCTCACTCGCCCACTCGCTCATCCACTCATCTACTCACTCGCCCACCAACTCGCTCAGTCGCTCACTCGCTCAGTCGCTCAGTCACGCACCCATTCGCTCACCCATTCGCTCACCCACTCACCAAATCGCTCACTCGCCCACTCGCTCATCCACTCATCTACTCACTCGCCCACCAACTCGCTCGCTCAGTCGCTCAGTCACGCACCCATCCGCTCACCCACTCGCCAAATCGCTCACTCGCCCACTCGCTCATCCACTCATCTACTCACTCGCCCACCAACTCGCTCGCTCACTAGCTCAGTCGCTCACTCGCTCAGTCGCTCAGTCACGCACCCATTCGCTCACCCACTCACCAAATCGCTCACTCGCCCACTCGCTCATCCACTCATCCACTCATCTACTCACTTGCCCACCAACTCGCTCACTCACCAACTCGCTCACCCATTTACTCACTCACCCACTCGCCTACTCGCTCACTTACCCACTCACCCACCCACTCACCCTACCCACCTATTTTCCTACTCGCTCGCTCGCCCACTCACTCGCGCATTGACCCACCCACCCACCTATTTTCTTACTCGCTCACTTACCCACTCACCCACCCACTCACCCTACCCACCTATTCTCCTACTCGCTCACTCACCCGCTCGCTCGCCCACTCACTAGCCCACTCACCCACCCACCCACTCACGCACTGACCTACTCACTCACCTACTTGTTCACTCACCCGCTCGCTCACTCACCCACTCGCCCACCCGCTCGCTCACCCACCCACTCGCCCACTCACCCACTCACTCACTCTCCCCATCACCGATGTCTCCCCTGGAGGGAGAACAATGCATTTCCCCGTGACCTACTTGGGGCACTGCGTGGCTGGCAGATGTTAACTACCTTGCCCAGTATACAAGAGGTCGTGGGTTCGATCCCCGACCCTGACGCCTGCTGTATATTGGGATCCTGCATCAGAGGTCGCAAACGGGTACCCGTATCCTACCCGATACCCGGCTACCCGTACCCGGCCGGGTACGGGTAGGGTACGGGTATCGGGTACCCGATTGCGACCTCTGGGATGAAGCCATGTTGCGGGCGCGGGTGGGTTGATTCTAGGAACTTGAATTGTGAGAAGAGACAAGACGATAATTGGTTCTTTACCCTTCTATCTGGCAACAAAACTGACACCTTTTTGCAAGGAGTCATGTTTGCATAGACCGCAATACCTGCAGTCATAATACAAACAAAAGAACATAACTCTGATAATGTGCACTGTTATGTTCTTTTGTTTGTATTATGACTGCAGGTATTGCGGTCTATGCAAACATGACTCGTTGCAAAAAGGTGTCAGTTTTGTTGCCAGATAGAAGGGTAAAGAACCAATTATCATATTTTTACTGGCAAATGAGGTCCCCATAGTAGAGAAGAGACAAGACGTTGGGAAATGAGTGACAAACGGTGACTCACCAGTGACTCACGGCCTACCCGTACCCGGCCGCACCAGGGTCGCAAACAGGTACCCGTACCCAGCCGGGTACGGGTAGCCGGGTATCGGGTAGGGTACGGGTATCGGGTACCCGGTTGCGACCTCTGGCCTGCGTGTCTCTCTCTCTCCCCGTGATCGCGTGGATTTTTCCCCGGGTCCTCCCGGTTTTCCCCCCCTCCACATTTAGAATGAACGTATCACGCGTTCATGAGCACTGTTCGGCCGCTGCTGTGAATTTGCACGTGATGACCATTTGCCGCTTTGTTGAGCTGGCGTAACGTGGCCCTAACCTGTTGAAGTAAGAATAGTTTTGGTTTAGACGTAACTAACCCCGGCTGGTGTGCACGAGGTCGTGGGTTCGATACTGACCCTGACAACGCCTGCTGCTGTACATTTGGAGTTTGCCTGTTCTCTGGCTCTCATCATCATCACCACGGTGGCTAGGAGATGTTAACTACCTCGCTTGGTCTACAGGAGGTCGTGGTTCGATCCTGACCCTGACGATGCCTGCTGCTGCTGCTGTATATTTGGAGCCTGCGTCTCTCTCATAATCATCATCACGGTGGCTAGGAGATGTTAACTACCTCGCCTGGTCTACAGGAGGTCATGGGTTCGATCCTGACCCTGACGATGCCTGCTGCTGCTGCTGTATATTTGGAGCCTGCGTCTCTCTCATAATCATCATCACGGTGGCTAGGAGATGTTAACTACCTCGCCTGGTATACAGGAGGTCGTGGGTTCTGCATTTCCCATAAATATGCTAAATTCCTCTTGATATGCAAATTATTTTGTCAAGGCGCTCTTCCCCCTCCAACCCAGCTTAAATATACGCTGCCAAGCTTGGTGGTGTTTCATTCAGACGCTGTCTTCCCGACAGACCTGGTCTTCACCTGAGGACGGCTGCTTGCGTTGTGGCCGAAACGTCGTGAGAATAATTTTATTATGTTTTATTTTTATTATTTTATTATTTCCCTTCTACGTGATGACTTTACCGAAAGAACCAAGAAGATGAATCCCTGCAGTCACGAAAGCTTTAAACCGAAATATATCATCCTAACTATACACACCGAACAATACACGTATATATAATTTTACTGAAGTGGAAGAAATGCCGGAGTCAAGGGGTTTATGCTGATTCTAGATTTGAAGCTTTCGTGACTGCAAGGATTCATATTCTTAGTTTTTTTCGGTAAAGTCACGTAGGTAAAACATTAAAATTAATAAAAGTAAAATAAAAATCACGACGTTTCGGAGGCAACACAAGCCTCCGTCTTCAGGTGGAACCGTCACAGCCACGACAGCTTTATCAAGTGAATGAGAGATTACAGGAGCTACCACTCCGTTTATATAATGGTTGGAGAGGGGGGGGGGGGAAGGGGCCAAGTACAGCACACTTTTTATTCATATGGTAAGGTGAGGCTTAAGAGGGTGGTGAGCCTTTGTTATGGAGAGGTACGGTTTGGGACTAAACCTGGCCTACATAACAATAGTGTGAAAAAAAAGAAACAACTAAACATGGTTTATGCTGGCGGGGGGCTGTAAGTAACATGATGCGGTGACGGGGGGGGGGGGAGAGCTACGCATCTACAACGATTGCCGCCAAAGCAGATGATGGCACTCGCAACAAAATAGCCACGCTGCTGAACGCTGAGGATGTAATTAACTCGGTGAAATAGGCCAGTACCCGGAACAACTATGAACTCATCTTCTTGGTTCTTTCGGTAAAGTCACGTAGAAGGGAAGTAATAAAATAATAAAAATAAAACATAATAATATAATATTATGTTTTTTATTATTATTTTATTACTTCCCTTCTACGTGAAGTAATAAAATAAAAATAAATAAAACATAAAATAATAAAAATAAAACATAATAAAATAATATTATGTTTTATTTTTATTATTTTATTACTTAATAATAAAAATACTTAATAAAAATAAAACATAATAAAAAAATATTATGTTTTATTTTTATTATTTTATTACTTCCCTTCTACGTGACTTTACCGAAAGAACCAAGAAGATGAATCCCTGCAGTCACGAAAGCTTTAAGTCGAAACTATGAACTGTTAAATGTTACCCAGTTAATAACATCTTTCCATTGATTGCTCAATTTGTATCCGTCCTCTCGGTTGAAGGTATGTCTATGTTTATATATCTGGATGGCTTCTTGAACAACTCTTTGATGGTAGCCAGACGGCTTGCAGAGCACTTTGGTCTCGGAGAAAACATTATCACGAGAGCCGACAGCGTTGTAGCAGTGATCAGTGATCAGCAACGGCGGAGGAATTAGTTCTGCGGTCAGAGACATGACGTTTCGTTTCCCCAATGTAACAATCGCCACAGATGCAACTTAGTTTGTAGACTCCAGGGTATTGCTGTGGTTGTCACAACTGATGATGATTGCTTGTGTTGCAATCGATACGTCGTGATTTAATTTATTTATTTCTAATTTTTCTACCTACGTGACTTTACCGAAAGAACCAAAGAGTATGGATCCTTGCAGTCACGAAAACTTCAAATCTAGAATGAATATATATATACAATTGACTATACAGTGAGTGAAAAAATTAACCCGTAAAAACAAAGTTTTTCACTATAAATCCTTTATATGCGTGGCGGCTAGAGTCCTCTCGTTTTCTGGCTTGAGATGGCTGCCACCTATGGGTCAGATGATTGCCTGCCACCATTAAGCAATTGATAATTAAATAGAATTAATTTTTTCCTAAAAAGTGCACAACGAGTCTGTGTGCAAAATGTCAGCTCGATTGGATCACGGGAAGTGGGTTAAAAAACGACCGAAAGATTTGCACGGTCGTAAGCGCGCAAGCAAGCAAGTGAACTTAATATTACGGATTTAAAAAGTATTTGATCCCCTGCTGATTTTGTACGATTGCCCACTGACAAAGAAATGATCAGTCTATAATTGTAATGGTAGGTTTATTTGAACAGTGAGAGACAGAATAACAACAAAAAAATCCAGAAAAACGCATGTCAAAAATGTTATAAATTGATTTGCATTTTAATGAGGGAAATAAGTATTTGACCCCCTCTGCAAAACATGACTTAGTACTTTGTGACAACCCTTGTTGGCAATCACAGAGGTCAGACGTTTCTTGTAGTTGGCCACCAGGTTTGCACACATCTCAGGAGGGATTTTGTCCCACCACTCCTCTTTGCAGATCTTCTCCAAGTCATTAAGATTTCGAGGCTGACGTTTGGCAACTCGAACCTTCAGCTCCCTCCACAGATTTTCTATGGGATTAAGGTCTGGAGACTGGCTAGGCCACTCCAGGACCTTAATGTGCTTCTTCTTGAGCCACTCCTTTGTTGGCTTGGCCGTGTTTTTTGGGTCATTGTCATGCTGGAATGCCCATCCACGACCCATTTTCAATGCCCTGGCTGAGGGAAGGAGGTTCTCACCCAAGATTTGACGGTACATGGCCCC